AAAAGCAAAATAAAAAAAATGAAAATTCAAGTTAACAAACGTATATAGAATAACATAATGTCTTATTTGCGAAAGAATACAATGAAATCAACAAATAAGTTTGTCCAATTCGTCTGCAGATTTTTGAGGAACTCGAGCATATTTGTATCCGGCACTGCATAAAATATGGTGCAAATTAAGACTGGTTACCAATAGTGGAACATTAAAAAAAAGATTAGCACTATCAAAGTAATAAAATGAATGGAAAAACTATGAAAAGGAGGGCTTATAAAAAGATACTTACGAATTACTCCATGAGAACGAGATTGCATAATAATGTAACGCTGAAATAACAGACACCATTACGTCCAATAAATGGCAAAAATCCCTCTGAGGCAACTTTATGTAAAAGTTCACTAATTTTGCAACTATATTCTAAGAAGCTTAAATTAGATATCGATGTCAGTCATATTCCCAATTATTTACTTATTCGGACATAATGCACTTTTGCTAAATTAGCTTTCGGTCCATTGGTATTTATCTGAAACTACTTTAGCCATTAAGAGTAGATTTCATTTCGTAAAATATTTAGTTATCTATCATGATCTTTTTAGTTTAAGGGCTTTACTCGTTACTATATCTTGTCTAACATTTGCATCTTGCAAATAAAAAAGAAGACTATCATTTAATTTCTAAAATTTAAAACATAAATTTTGCCAATTTATATGTTACTCCATACTTGTTGACTGTCAGTCTTAGTGGTTCGCCTTCCTTGTGTATCTTCGGTAATAGGTAGGCTGTTGGTGGTCGTGCATCCTTTTTTATGATTAAATGTATTGTCCATGCGTCAATTTCCCCATTTCTATGCATATCCTTCAGCATGCCACTTAAGATTACATTGATTTTCGTAGTTGGGTCCTTTAGTTTACCATATATAGTCCTGTCTCGTGGAATATATTCCATCTTCTCGGTATATTGTTTTTTGTCCATTATCACTATCGCTTCTCCTTTATTGGCCTGAAACACGGGTAGGCATTCATATGAATTTGCTCATAAAATAAAAAACATGGCACTGGAAGAAACAGACATATAGAAATAGAAATATAGGAAATGCGGAAACTACCCTGCTGGAATTCCTGCACCGAGAGGAGGATATCCTGTGATCAGAAAGGATCAGGAGGGAGTCGTTAACACGACTTATCAACTCGACAATAAAGACACCATATTTTACCGTAAACGTAACCGTCTCTGAACAAAAATTTGGACTGCCCATGGGACCGCCGCTCTCACCCCTTTAGCAAGGATACAAATGAACAAATAAGAAGAGAACTTCAAGATGTCACCGTCACAAGCCTACCAGCAGCGCTTATACGGTATCTGGATGATTAACTCGCACTTTGGTCACTTGGAAGAGAAAAACTGGAAGATTTTCTCATGTTTCTACACCAGATTGATGAAAAATTAAACTCACGCGGGAAATAGAGGAAGGAGAGCGGTCACCTTTCCTGTACGATGAAGCGATTCGCTGTAATTGGATGCTCAAAAAGAAATTGTTCAGAAAGAAGTCTTATGCCATGAAAATAAAAAATTTCTAGTTTCATCACAATTACAGGCTAAAGAGAAATGATTTGGCGAAACAGAGAAAAATTAGCATACTAATTAAGGACCATCTTAGGCTCTGCGGAAAAATAGATACCGAAAGACGAGAAATAGCACATCGCATAGACTGGACATGAAATCAATTGGAGTACAACTGTAAGAAGGACCTCGTATGGTGAAAATACAAGGAAGCGGAAGAATAGGAATACGATTTACAAGAAAGCGGAAGATTAAGGAGGCGATTGACATGCTTGGGGAAAAAGATCTAATGAACAGGAGATTGGAGGAAGGCATAGTTAGCGATACCTTTGCATACTGCTTAAGCAAACTCTAGGAAAATAAGAATACAGCAAGACCAGCAAAAAGGAGACACTGAGATAAAGGATATATTGCCAACCAGAGAAAAGTAATCGTGAATAAAAAATGGGGTAGGCAGATATTTTCGGAAATCAAGCAAAGACATTATCAGTTAGTGTTGTCTGCTCCAAGAAGCCAATACAACTTTGGGGACCTGGCAGTCAGGAAACTAGGCAGACGGATAACCACAATCGTCACAGAAATTAGACATCATGGCCAAAATTTACTAGAAATCCACTTGAGATGCCGCATACGACCAGAAATAGGCGTCCAAAATTTGTTCAGGTAACACGGGTTGAATCAAATATACAACCTGCCTAATATCTGCAAACATTGGAATCAAAGTCTAGGCGCTCTGCTCAGTGAGGCGGCAGTGTTTGTCCTTCGAAGGTCTTGAGAAATAGCGCCTGGAGTAAGACGCACATTTGGACTGAAACCGTGTGAAATCGGTCAGCCGGAAAGACAAGAAACGGATCTACGCGACCATGAGGGCGATCCGGATAGGAGGCCCATGTCGGATTAGCCGATCGAAAAAGAGAGGGTCAGGGTGAATAGCAGATGTGATGAGACCACACTGACCTTGCCAAAAGATGACACCCTTTTTGACGAGTGGAATGTAAACAAATGATAAGTTGTGGTGTGATAAGAGAGTAAAGAGTAGGTGGATAGGCCAGGATAGAAAGAGGAGTGATAGTGTAACCGTTTTATGCAGAACGTTGGTCGAGCGATCTACTTCACTTGTCTCTGACGAGTTTATGGCTTGATGCAGAGAATAGCAAGACTCACTGATGATGCCGACTA